GTTATCAGCTAAATTAGGGGGTGGTGCTGCTCCCTCCACCTTCCACCTGTCTGTCTCTAGACGTCAGTAAAGAGGCAACTGGAGAGACTGGATGGTGATCAGTCAGCAGGTCTGATGGTGTCAGAGTCCTGAAGGCCTGAGCAGAGCAGCTCTGTGAGATTCTACGGCACCTCTTCCCCCTTAGTCTGACCCTGGAGACAGTTCCAGGGACATGGAAGACCTCCTGCCATTTTCCAGGACCAAAGAAGACTCAGCCAGCGGTCCTCAGTGACTATAGACCTCCTGCCTGGTTCCAGGACCAAAGAAGGGCCAGTATCCTGCAACTTTTAGATGTGCCTTTCATTCGACACACCTGTATCAAGTTATTCGATGATTGAAAGGACTCTGCAGGAACTAACTGCATGCTGAGGAGGTAACTCAGCCATTTGATTCAGGTGTGTTGGACCAAGGATGGATATAAAAGTTGCAGGATATCGGCCCTCAGGATATGGAATTGCCCACCCCTGTCCTCGAGAGACTTCTGTTGGTTCACTTCACCAAGCAAACCAGCAGCAGTGTAGCATGCGCGCGGTTCATTTGCAGTCTGGACGCTGAGGGTAAACATGCTGTGTATCTGACTGTAGCGCTGAGAGGGACTCCTGCGGAAGCAGGAGAACGGGGTTGGGATGGGGGAGGCGCCACACGGCAGACACCAGAAAAGTCGCTAGATTTGTCGCCAGTCGCTTTTTTGAAAAAGAGTCGCTGGAGGTGTCTGAAAAGTCGCTAAATATAGCGACAAAGTCGCTGAGTTGGCAACACTGACCAGCAGGACCCCCTGCAGTTTGCTTATCACCATGGAGATGGAGGGGATGATGTCATCATCCACCTGCTTCAACAAACCCACTGTCATTTAGTGGGCAGTGGGCTGCCATTGTGCGGCGCCCATACTTTGACAGTAAACTGTATTCTATTCTATTCCATTCTGTTCTATTGTGCTTGACTTTATTCAATTCAATTCATTCATTCATTCCATTCTATTCTATTCTAGTGTATTTCATTCTATTCTATTCGGTGTATTCTATTCTATTCCATTCTGTTCTATTGTGCTTGACTTTATTCAATTCAATTCATTCATTCATTCCATTCTATTCTATTCTAGTGTATTTCATTCTATTCTATTCGGTGTATTCTATTCTATTCCATTCTATTTGTCTCTTTCTGTTTGCATCTATTCTCCGTGTAGACCAGCGTCTTCGGACGCTTTGTTCGTTCCTGAACCAATGAGCTTCCTGAAGCAAACTGCTGATGTTTTTCCAAACTGGCTCCAGCAGCCTCCCTCATTTAGCATGGGATGCTATAGATGGACTATCTAGATGGGAATCTCTATAATATGTCACCTGTTATTCATTAGAGAAGCGCTGAATTTTAAGATGTGGTTTGTAGATAAATTCCTGAGTTAAACCCCAGGGACTTGCAAAAGGTC